CGGAATAGAATACGAGATTTTCTCATCTTCTGGATATGAAAGCGCTTACCATTTTGAATGACACCGGAGTTATTTGGTGGGACAATTGCTAGGAGACAGGAGCTGGCCACTTGGTGGTCGACGAAAACCGGGAGTGCCCGAGTTGACACGTGACTTCAAAGCTAGTGGCCAATCAGAGGAGGCGTAATTGTTTTCATTCGACTTAGAAGTATGAGTTTATATTGATAAAGTCAATGATAGATGAGAATCCATTTGTTTTATCGTCTTATATCATCTGTACACAAGAAAAGGGTAAAGCACATCGTCTGTAAACGGACGCATTATATAGCCCTGAACTCATCGTGCCAAAATCGAACAAATATTCTCGAGGGCGAGGGGAGGGTTATACTCGCAGGTGGAGACACGCATCTTTCTGAAAGATTTCAATTACACTAGAAGACGGTTGTGAAGGAACGAAGGAACAAAGGTTCTGAAGAGCAAGGTAACCGTAACTACTTGTCGAAAAAAAAGTCTAATGGGATTATGGAGTTAATACTAGGGAGCCTTGCTTGCGAGAAGCTGCGCCTCCCAAGAGTACGCGTGGTGAAAAATGAAATAGGATATGTGCTTCAAAAACCCCCTCGGATTGACATGCAAAAAAAAAAATTCAACTGAGACAGGAATGAACAGACCCATGAGAGGAAAGCAGCATCAAATACAGTGGAAACGAAAGATTATAAGAACCGCATAGCCAAACACCCTAACTGTACATTTGTCTCATTAGTCGACTTTGTCGGTCGAGCCTCCATTCAGGAAACTCTCCTTGCCGTCCAGGTGGAAGAATCCACCATTGTTGTTGGAGTTGCCAATAATACCACCGCGCGCAGCACTACGTCTGAGGCGTGAACGTCCGAAGACGGCAGCCACAGCAACCACGGCACCCAAGATAATGAAGAAGATGACGGGATGACTGCTGAGGAGAGATCGAGTGAAGAAGAAGATAGTCTCGAATGTGCCGATGGTAGATTTGGGTGACAACTTCGAAGGGGAAGCGATGACGAGAGGAATGGTCTCGAGAATGGAGGTCCGCGAGGCCATGATAGGAGCTCCGCTTGAAGCAGTATCCCAGTAGCGGCGGTTCTATAAGAAGTCAGTTATAGTGCTCGGACGAACATCACGAGGGGCGACTTACATCTTGATCATTGATAATAACACGGTCACTGGTTTCTACGTCGATACCATAGGTTGTGCGCAGCCAGCGCTCCCAAAAGTCGCCATCGACCCAGGCAAAGGCGACTTGCTTCTTGTCGTCCTCGCGGATGGTAATACGCATATTCTTCGCAGCCCGCAATGCGCGCTGATCATTGCGGTCATCGGCTTCTTCGATACGCAGTTGCTTGGAATCACGAAGTTCGGCTCGCTCAAGGCGGAACAGTTGAACCTGCTTGTCCATCCATTCAAGGGCAGCCTCCTTCAGCTCGCGCTTGGACTGCTTGAAGTCATCGCTACGGCGGCGGCTCAGGAGTCCCAGAACCACGAACTTTCCGTCCATAATTTCTTGGGCATTGGATGCGGTGAGCTCAGGTACGATGGGAAGCCACACAGTCTGCATCCACGAAAGTATTTGACGGAAATCTCTCATGTCCTTAGGGGCAAGGGCATTGTAGTAGTTGGGACGTCGGTCGCGAACGACCAGAAGACGAGGCCAGGTAGAGATCTTGAACCGCTCGGACAGAGCAGCACTGTCACTCTTGACGATGCGAGCGTGTCCCACGAGACTAAGCGTAAGGCGATTCATCGCCTCAAAATCTTCCGATGTCGTCGCATGGTCGTAGAGATACAGGAACAAAACCTCTTCGGTTTCTTCCAACTGCTTAAAAGTAGTCGCATCAACATCCTGAATACTTGAGCCCACACCAACGGCTTTGTTAGTGTACGAGATTAGATCTCCCAAGCCACGAAGACCGGTATATTCAACTCTCTCGCCGCCACGGAAGAAGTAGATTGTCGGGTAGGCGCTCACGCGAGCATCTTCGCAAAGTCGCTTCTCAAGTTCGCAGTTCACTTCACCAACATTGAGAGTATCCTTCATCTCCTTGGCCATCGAGTTCCAGTTCGGTGCTAGGGCCTGGCAATGATGGCACCAAGGAACGTAAAATTTGATGATCCAGGGATCATGGGTAGTCGTGACAAGACTTTGGAAGCTCTCCGCAGTGAGTGGGATAGAGATGCCTTGGGGATTAGCAGGCCGTCCTTGGAGCTTGGCCTTGACAGACTCAGGGCTAACGCCTTCCAATTCCGCGGTCTCAATACTCTGCTTCTCAACAGCTGTTTTCGCACCAGGCTTTACCACTTCGGGTTTCGCAGTCATTTCCATGCTCTTAGCGTTAGCCTTTGGGATTTGAACGCCTTGCGAAGGTCGGGACCCAGGCTTGAGCGTCTCGAGCTTGGCTTCGATCATAGCGCCAATCTCTGACATCGTTTTGGCACCAGCAGGTGGCTCGCTCTGGACGCCCATATCATAGAATGCCCACGCGGGGAAAAATTCGACTTTCAATTTCTTGCAGAAATCACCAAAGGCCAGGCAGTTTATGGACCCGAAATGGAAATTGTAGTAGCCAGTGAAGGAGTCTAAAGACGAGAGCGCATCGGGCTTCAATCCGGAGAGGAATAAGGGATTTGAGGTCTACCACTAATCAGATTCGAACCCCAAAGGTTAAAAATAATAGAATGAATACTCACGTAGTAGTACTCATATAGGGTCTGGTACATTGGGGCCGCCGTCCGGCAATGCGGGCAATTAGGGGAATAATGTTTGATCATCCTAGAATAGTTAGATACTTGAGCGATTTATTAATTGCTGCAGAAGGGGTCCTCACCAGTGACCATTTTTGGTCACTTCTTCGAAATTATCCGGGGTCAACTGCGTCAACGGGGGCACTTCAATACCATTGAATATTGTGGGTGTATCCGGATCCACTCCACGACCCCCCCGCTTGACAAGTGTATCTCCAGATTCCTGGTTCGAGGAAGCATCTGAAGGCGTGCCCAAAGCAGGCGCTGCCAACAGTGAGAGGAGGGACCACCCCAGCCAAGACGGTTTCATTTTGATGGAAGACCAAGGCAAATAACTCGGGTAGGAGTTTAAAGGAGAGTATGAGTAGTTTCAAGATGTCACAGCTGAGCAAAACGAAGGACGCTGGTCGAAGTAGGGAGGATAATCGCGAAATGTCACAGGTGGCACATTGAATGGGGGCGAATACTGGTGACTCGGGTGGGCACTGGTCACGTCGCAGAAAGAAACAGCACTTAGCGACTATAGCGCCCCGTAGCTGAAAGCAAAATAGAACTGCACACAGCCCAAACAAAGAACCAGATGTGAGGCTTTGATTGTATCGGAAAAGGTGAGTTGTGTTTCCCCTTGCCGCTTGGGGGTGGAACATCAGGTTAATCCGCTCCGGGCCGACTTCAACACTTCATCTCCCTGGAACCGAGCGACTTCAATATCACCAAATCCATTAACAATGCGCTCTACACTCCGGCTACTGGCCAATGTCAAGCCTCGGTATTTGGAGCCTTTTGCTCCTACCGGATTGACGGGCCTCTTCACCCACCCCAGCCCTCGCCCTACTTTAATCTACCTTTACTCGACTACTCTGCAGAAGTTGCAGGCGTTCCCCGAATCCTCCGCCTACCGCCAATCCGTTGAAGCTTTGACCCGTCACCGTCTCCAAGTCATTGAATCGCAAAAGCCCGCCGGATTCGATGCCTGGTTGGAGCGTGTGCGGAAGACCGTGGGGTCCGAACCCGAGCGGTTCGCCAAGGTCGAGCGCGCCGACGGCACTTACACCCATGCCGCTGCCCAACAGAAGGATGGATCCGACAATGCTCGTGGTGAAGAATGGGACGGCGAAGGCCTATCAGCCACAACTGAAGGTCCCGCCCGTACCCCGCAACAAGAAGCGGAATGGGTTAAAATCATGAACGAGGCTAGCGAGACCACTGAGAAGGCCGAGTTCGACTTCTACCACCAAGATATGAAATGGGAGAGCGAGCCTGCCCTTGATGCCGACCAGTACGTGCACCTGCATATCCGAATTATCCTCAAATAACCAGGCAATTGAGTGCTAACCTCTTGTGCAGGATCTCTCACGCCGAACAGCAAATCGGTGCCGGCCTTATTGAGGAGGTCATCCAGGTCGCAGAGGCAGAGCTCAAGCTTGTGGATGAGTTGGCCAAGGCTAAGGTGTAAGTGAAAACCGGAAGTTTGCGGTCTAGACTTATTGCTGACACTTTTACAGGTGGGAGGAACTTGAGGAGAAGCCCCGACCTGGCCAGTGGACTTACTTCGAGCGTGGTAACTAAACAGCAATTCTGGAATGGCTGTGAATTTTAATCTCTGTAACTACTACTAGAGGTCTCTTTGTTCGAATACATGTTTTGTGAGTTTAATCATCTGGAGCTTAGGGTTAGTCGTAGAGCCACTAGATTACATACGACTTGTGTATTCGATCAATGAAACGATATCGACAATCTCAATTGGAAAATGGTTGGCGTAATTGAGGTATGTCGAGAGTATAGAGGTCATTGATATTCTAATTCGAATTTATACATCGGGACGATGATTATATATAAGTACAGGGAAGCATACCGTAAGCATTTGAGCTATTGATATTTTGCCCAAACCACTACCTTGAGTATAGGCTTACATCTCACTAGTGTTATATAGTAAATTAGCATAGTTTCCGTCATGCAAATGAATCCGTAGGACATTTGTATAGCGGATAGACCGACTGGAAGGCGGTGAGCCAAGGCGGGAATCCCTTGTGGACACATACATTGCTGTCCCTGAATGAAGCGCTCTCACTCTAGCTCTCCGTCATCTCAATCCCTTCTTAATTTCTCCAATTAATAACTTGCTCCGAGGATCGTTCCTCCCTGTTATCGGGCTGTCTGAGCGGCTCGCGGAATCACCTATCGCTGTTACAGGCCCAACGCCGCATCACACAAACACTTGTCCCATCCCCCTCACAACATGCGGCTCGACGTCAAGGTACGCAAATGCAGATGATGAATTGTCTCCTATAGTTACAAGTCTGCCCTCAAACAGATACAACGATAATTCTGCAGGTGGACGTTCACAATTGGAGAGATTGCTGACGATAAACGTTACAGAGGCAGCTGTTTGCCCGCTCCGAGCGGGTAAAGGGGATTGATTTCCACCCTACAGAGCCATGGGTAAGCTTTCACAATCTACCCAGGAGCTTTACTCAAACTAATTTCTTTCTTAGATCTTGACGACCTTGTATAGCGGTATGTTTCGAGAGGGGCAGTATAGGAGATGTCCAATGCGCTAATTACTTTCCTGTCCAGGCCATGTCTACATCTGGTCTTATGAATCGCAGGTAAGACATGACACAGATTCACACCCCCCATATTCTTATCTAAACCGTCTGCCCTTTAGTCTATTATCAAAACCTTCGAACTCACTGATGTCCCCGTTCGTGCCGGTCGATTCATTGCGCGGAAGAACTGGATTGTCTGCGGTTCAGATGACTTTCAGCTCCGTGTCTACAACTACAACACATCCGAAAAAATCACCTCCTTTGAAGCACACCCGGATTACATCCGTTCTATTGCCGTCCATCCCACCCAGCCGTTTGTGCTCACAGCCTCCGATGACATGACAATTAAGCTTTGGGACTGGGAGAAAGGCTGGAAATGTGTACAAGTGTTTGAAGGTCACAGCCACTATGTTATGGGCATGGCGATCAACCCAAAGGATACCAACACTTTCGCCTCCGCATGTTTGGACCGAACCGTGAAGATCTGGAACCTCGGCTCGCCCCATGCCAACTTCACACTTGAAGCCCACGAGACGAAAGGTGTCAACCATGTCGACTACTACCCACATGCTGATAAGCCATACCTCCTTACCACCTCCGACGACAAGACCGTCAAGATTTGGGACTACACCACGAAGGCACTCATTGCAACCCTCGAGGGCCACACAAGCAATGTCTCATTTGCATGCTATCACCCTGAATTGCCTGTGATTATCTCGGGTTCTGAAGATGGAACCGTTAAGATTTGGCACGCAAATACCTACCGCTTGGAGCAGTCATTAAGCTATGGTCTAGAACGAGCATGGTGTGTTTCCTACCAGCGTGGTAGACAGGGCATTGCAATGGGTTTCGACGATGGTGCTGTCGTGGTGAAGATGGGTCGGGAAGAGCCCGCTGTATCAATGGATGGGTCTGGTAAGCTTATCTGGACGAGACACAGTGAGGTCGTGTCGTCTGTGATCAAGGGTGGCGATGCTACTGTCAAGGACGGCGAGCCCCTTTCTCTACCAACAAAAGATTTGGGACAGTGCGAGGTGTACCCACAGACTTTGACACACTCCGCCAATGGACGATTTGTTTCTGTCTGTGGCGATGGAGAGTACATCATCTACACCGCATTGGCATGGAGAAACAAGGCCTTTGGGCAGGCTCTCGATTTTGCCTGGGGTGCGAAAGACAACAGTAACGACTACGCTATCCGCGAGTCATCGACAAGTGTCAAGATTTTCAAGAACTTCAAGGAGCAGAGTGCTGGTCTTGATGTTGGGTTCCAAGCCGAGGGTCTGTCCGATGGTGTTCTTCTGGGTGTCAAGGGCCAAGGTGGCATTGGCTTCTTTGATTGGGAGACTGGCAGCCTGGTTCGCAGAATTGAGGCCGACCCGAAATCCGTAAGTTGTTGGATCTGCTGTGATCTTTGGAAATGATGCTAATCAACATGTACAGGTTTACTGGTCCGAATCTGGCGAACTGGTTACCCTTGCCTGTGAAGATGATTTCTACGTTCTCCGCTACTCTCGCGAGGAGTATATCAATGGCCTAAACGCCGGCGAAGCTGACGAGGATGGAGTTGAGGCAGCTGTTGAGTTGGTCGCTACCATCAACGAAACCGTCCGGACTGGACAGTGGGTTGGAGATTGCTTCATCTACACCAACTCTACGAACCGTCTGAACTACCTTGTCGGTGACCAGACTTACACAATCTCTCACTTCGATCAACCGATGTACGTTCTTGGCTATCTGCCCCGAGATGGCCGTATCTACCTTGCCGACAAGGACGTCAACGCCGTTTCCTTCAGCCTTTCTCTCAGCATGGTTGAATATCAAACAGTGGTGCTGCGCGGTGATATGGAAATGGCATCTGAGATTCTCAAGGATGTCCCCCAAGACCAGATGAACAAGGTCGCCCGCTTCCTCGAAGGTCAAGGATATAAGGAAATGGCTCTGGAAGTCGCCACCGACCCCGAGCACCGCTTCGAGCTCGCTCTTGCGCTGAATGATCTTGAAACCGCACTCGCGATTGCTCGCGAGGCCAATGTCGAGCACAAGTGGAAGATTGTCGGTGATGCTGCCCTCGCCGGTTGGAATCTTGCTCTGGCCCAAGAGTGCTTTACCAACGCCAAGGACGTCGGTTCTTTGCTATTGTTGCACACCGCTAGCAACAACCGTGAAGGTCTCAAGGCCCTGGCTGCTCAGGCCTCGGAGTCAGGCCTCCACAATGTCGCCTTCTCCACTCTGTGGTCTCTGGGAGATATCGATGGCTGCATCGCTCTCCTCGTGCAGACCAACCGCATCGCCGAGGCAGTTCTCCTCGCCCAAACTTACAAGCCTTCAAGCGCCCCTAAACTCGTTGTCCAATGGAAGGAATCCCTAGAGCAATCTGGTAAGACCAAGGTTGCCCGTCTCATCGGTGTCCCGCCCGGTGCCCTTGACGTCTCTACCGATGACGACCTCTTCCCCGAATGGGATGAGTACATTCGCCTAGAGAAGGAGGGTAGCGTCCCCGAGCCTGCTTCGGAGTCTCTGATTGATGTCAACGGCGATGAAGAAGAGCCCGTGAGCGCGACCAACGGCGTACCCGAGGCGGATGATGGGGTAGAGAAGGCCGAAAAGGCTGCAGTGGACGAGGCCGATGCTGCCGAAGCCGAGTAAACGAACAAAAAGCACCGGGTTCTGTTTGGTGACTTTTCAGGAGAGTTAGGTTGATCGTTTGTTTTCTGGCTGACCAGTCAGACCATTCTTGATTGCGAGCGGCGTCTTAACGTGTGTCCGACATTTTTTCACTTTCTTATTTGTAATTTCGCTGTCATGTGTCTCTAGAGCAAATTACATGCCTAGATACAAGCAATATGTTTCCCTCTATTTCCAGTGGTTTCGTTAATATACTAGATTATTGTATATGTATACTATACAGATTTTCCCTGGCCCTATACACTGAACGTTAGTAAAGGCTTCTGTATACCCAAGTGTTAGTAATGGATATCAGAACGAGCACACATGTCTAGATAAGAATACAAGACAGTGGCTATTGTCTGGCCCGAAAGCGAAGAATCAAGAGCCTTCTAGGTAACCCGTGCGTGGAGCAGTTGTTGAAGTTGGGCTATGAGTCGAATTTCCTACTTCGCATCATAAACCGCTTAGACACATATCCATCTTACTCGTTGACGAACTTAGTCGAAGACATATGATGCAGAACTGTTTTGGCATTGCCCATCGTAAAGTTTTTATCGAGAATACAGAACAAGGGTGCAGACGATGACCGCTTGAGAAAAGCAACGAGAAACCAAGGGTAAGAAAGGAACCTGCCTAGGGAGAATGAACACTTGAGATGGAAGGGAGATGACCGAACAAGACAAGAAAATCAAATCAAAGCGCTCAGCAGGCGTATAAAACGAGAAGAACCAAGGTCGTCTCGAAGATCAGGAGCAACTTCGATATCAAGATGCCACAGACTCCTTTGTGATGGGAAAACGAACAATATGACGAAGAACAGGGTGAAAGAAAAAGAATCAAGATTGGTGGATATGTTAATGAAAGACATATACGCAGTTAAAAAGGAAATGGTCTCTATGGGCCTCATATTCTCTCTTTCTTGCACCGGGGATACTCGATCTAATTTGACGTGGCGAAAAGCACTACTCCGGGATGCTACCGAAGGATGGGTCTTTGACACTGCCGCCTGCATCACCGAGGCCAGCCACGGGTCGGTTGTACGACCATCCTTCGAACTGTTGCTGCATGGTTTGCGAGAGGACGGGGCCGTCGACATATGAGTCCTGGGGTGCTTCCCTGGTGAATTCAACATCGAAGTTCTCAGTATCACGGGCATCCACCTGCATCAAGTTAGTCATATGTTGATCCAATGGATGATCGAGAGTAAAGAATACATACCACGTTTGGTCGGAAACTGGGTTCGTACTTCCTCTGGAGAAGCTTGCGCCAGTCAATGTTGGCAAAGAAGTGGTGAGACTTGATCTCCGCAGCACCGTTGGCACCCAGTCGGCGCACAGGGTCACGGTCCAACAATCGAGTGAGAAGATCTCGGGCAGCAGGCGGGACAATGTCGCTGCTGGGGAAGGTCAGAGGCTCTTGTAAAATTTTGCGATACATTTCGTTGGTGTTTTCATCGTAGAATGGAGGCAGGCCTGTCAGCATCTCATAGAGCAAGACACCGAGAGTCCACCAATCCACGGTCTTGGTGTAGCCGTTGCCAAGGAGAAGTTCTGGAGCGAGATATTCGGGAGTTCCACAGAACGCTAAGTTTGGTTAGCTATAGAGGGCCTATAATGAGTGATGAGGATATCTTACTATTGGTTCGGTCTTCGTCTTTCATGTCCAGCTTGCAGAGGCCGAAATCGCAAAGAGCGATATGCCCAGTGTAATCGAGAAGAATATTCTCAGGCTTGAGATCTCGGTAGATAACCTTGAAGCCGTGCAGACACTCGAGAGCGCACAGCAACTCTGCGGTGTAGAAACGGGCTCTGTTGATATCAAATCGTTGTTCCCTTTGCAAATGGTGGAACAACTCTCCACCATTCACAAATGCCAACACGAAGTACAACTTCTCAGGCGACTGGAACGAGAACTTCAGCGGAACAATAAATGGGTTGTTGATCTGTGCAAGAACCGATCGCTCGGCAAGTGTATGTGTGACTTCCGATCGCGAGATAATGTGAGCCTTGCGAATTGTCTTGAGGGCGTAGATCCGACCAGTATCCTTCTTCCTATGATTCCCCAACTGTCAGAATTTTGAAACCAGATAACTAGCGCTTTGAGTCCACTTACATGACCTGCATGACCTTTCCGAAACTACCCTTGCCCACAACCTTGAGCAAATCGAAGTCTTCTAACTTAAGACTCCGCTGCTTGTTCTCCACAAAGGAAATACCAATCTTGATTGAACCAACACCAAATTGGAGATCCAGCCACTCAGCACCCTGCTGACCCAGTTGACGCCCTTGCTCATCGTGAGCTGCGGCAGCCTTCTGGTTGTCTTTCTTGCTGAGTTTCGGATCCTCCACATACGGCTGGCTCTCTTCGAAGCGAGGGTTGACTTTGCATGCACCTAGGAAAATGTCCTCACTCCGTCCAGCACCAGGCCGGGCGGCAGGGTTGCGCAGATACAGCTGTACACTCAACTCGGTCTTCCGGGACACATCAAACTTGAAGGCTGTGTTGTCCCCAGCCCACAATGGGCTCTCTGGAGTTCCCGAAACAGCATCCACAAAGACCTGGTTCTTTTCGAAATCAAGGAGGGCATACGGAAGGTATTTGGTGGAATAGCGACCGTGGATAGTGGGGGCGGCATTTATTCCCCCGCTTGTGGACTGCGGTCGGCCGGACGGCACGAATGAACCCGCTTGATTTTGAGATGAATGTGACGACGAAGACGTACTTGGGCGTAGGGAAGAGGGCGCGTAAGAGTTATTTTGGAAATGCGAATTGAAGATTTGTTGGAAGTGAGGTGACAGCGAAAAATTGCGTCCTTCGTGGAGAGTAACAATAAGGATGCCGGGGTTCACAGTGGCCACAGGGGGAGAGACAAGAGACTCGGAGGCCGCTATCAAAAACGGTAAAATGATTAGTTACTGGGGATGATTCCAGCAATATAAGAATAACCTACCGATGCCATTTGTTGAGGGGGTGGCGGAGGCAATGCTGGGCGGGTTGGAGGCCACAGGTGTCAGAGCCTCATCACCGTTTGAGTCACCCTTGATCGTCGAAGTAGATGACGACCGGCCAAATGATGAGGTCAAGGGTGCCAGGTGCGTCTCCTTCAACTCTTCAGCCGAGTTGTATGATTAGCGACTGCCCATGGCGTTCACTGCAGTGCAGAGAGGGGTATTGAGGGGGGGGGGAGAGGGAGACCAACTGCCAGTAAACATACTTTTAGTGAGCTTCCAGGACATAGTGGCGGTTGTTGTAAAAAGATTGAGAAGAAGAGATCAAAGTCCAAGATACTGCAATGCGTGTGCAGGGTGCTAAGAATCACCCAATAATCAACATGCGAATGGCCTCCAAAATAAACCTGGAGAAGCCACACAAGGACACAGATAATACACACGCAAAAGAAGAGAATTCAAGACAAAGACAACCACCACTATCTTTTGAAATCCGTATGGAAGCACAACTAAGGATAAGAAAAAGTCGGGGAGATCGAAGATCAAATGAGAATGAGAGAGGGGAAGTTCCCCCTGTAATTAGAATACGTAGTTTACCATAGATTACACATAATTACATATTTGATTGGTCAACCTGGTCACACATTGGTTATAAAAGGTACAGTAATTAATCAGCCTCAGCCACTGCTCCGCCACAAGGGTTAACGACGCATCAACTTCCACCACGGCATTAACAATCAAGGCAGCTGACTCCACAAAACGAGAGATTTTAAGATTCTGCTTGGATTGTAGCTGGATCATTTTACCTTGAGATCCTTTCCAAACTTCGGAATATTCCCCGCTCCGAAGTGCGGAGACACCTACCCCGGAAGATCTCACCTCAACAGATCACCTGCAAGTCTAGTATCTTCAGACTTCTGAGTCTGTTTGTCTCTCGATACCGCTCCCGACAAATCAGAGGATGAAAGGGGTGGAGGGCTAATGGGTGTGATACGCAAGAAGACCGCCTCGCGCGGCACTGAGGCCGGCACTAAGTTCCACTGCGATGTGTGCTCTATTGATGTTACGTCAACAGTAAGTCTCGACGTGGTTGTGTCATGACCAGTTGAAGGTCTGTTGTGTTAATCAGAGACTGACGCGATTCCACCGCATAGGTTCGCATCTCATGTTCGCATCCCGCCTGCCCAGAATATGACCTCTGTGTCCCCTGCTTCGCCGCCGGAAAGAGCTCCAAAAACCATGACCCCGCTACACATCCATTCCAAGTGATCGAGCAGAACTCAGTCCCCATATTCCAACAGGATTGGGGCGCCGACGAAGAATTGTTATTGCTGGAAGGCGCCGAAATCTATGGGTTGGGTTCATGGGCAGACATCGCAGACCACATTGGCGGCTACCGCAGCAAGGATGAAGTGCGAGACCACTACTACGACACATATATAAAGAGCGTCAATTTCCCGCTTGCAGCTCACGCCGATCCAGACGATAGGAGCTTGCAGGATTCAATTTCCAAAGAGGAGTTCCAAACGCGCAAGAAGCGGCGCATTGAAGAGCGCAAAGATGCAGCCAAATCAGCACCTCCAACGACACCAAAACAGAAGCCGACTGCCAGTGTACCGGCATGCCACGAAGTGCAGGGCTACATGCCGGGACGATTAGAGTTTGAGACCGAGTTCTTGAACGACGCCGAAGAAGCGGTGCAGCACATGACCTTCGAGCCCGGGGCGGGACTCAATGAAAACGGCGAGCCAGATGCAGAGACTGAGCTCAAGATGACCGTGGTCGACATCTACAACTCCCGCCTGACAGCGCGTACCGAGCGCAAGAAAATCCTCTTCGAGCACAACCTCCTCGACTACCGAAAGAACACTGCCTTGGATAAGAAAAGGTCCAAGGAAGAGCGAGATTTGTTGAACAAAGCAAAGCCACTTGCACGGATGATGAACTGCAAGGACTTTGAAGACGTCAACAAGGGCCTGGAGTACGAGCATAACCTCCGCTTAGCCATCGCCCAGCTTCAAGAATGGCGGCAGATGGGAATCGGAGACCTGAAAGCAGGCGAGAAGTATGAGCAGGATAAACAACAGCGCGTGCAACGATTGCTTCCTCAAGGATCATTCGATCGTTTTGCCAGCACCCGCCCTAAGCAGACACAGCTCACAGAGACCCCAGCGGCAGCAATCCAGCTTACAACGCCTGAACTGCCGCTGCGATTGCAAAAAGCCGCCAATCCACATGCATCGACAGATCCTGCTGATGAACCATTGAACGATTTCGATCGCGCCTTCGCTGTCGATGGGGATGCGCCTCCACCGCAGCCGACAAAGACGAAATACGTGGTGCCCCCGCTAAGCGGGATGCCACCGTGGAAGCTGGACAATGACACTGCTGCTGACTTGCACCTCCTGACTAAGGAAGAAGCAGAGTTATGCAATGTTCTACGTCTGATGCCGAAGCCATATCTGGTCATCAAGGAGACACTCTTGAAAGAAGCAATGAAGCAGGGCGGCAACCTGAAGAAGAAAGATGCACGAATAATTTGCAAGGTATGTTTTACCATTCGACCCCTGAAACATGCATCCTTTACTGACTCTGTTAGATCGAGGGCACTAAAACCAGCCGAATTTATGATTTCATGGTACACAGCGGTTGGATCAACAAGGCGTAGATGCGCCAGATCCATTATATGCTGTAATCACTTCTTAGCTTATTGATATCCAAATCTATTTGTGATTTTGTCCGGGAGCGTTTCTTTTTTGGCGTTCATAGGGAACTTGGGAGATGGGTGGTTGTGTTCTCGGAACTTGTCCACATACATCACAGGTAGAATATCACCTGTAATTCGCACAATTAATTGTACAATGGAAGTAACCTAAATACCTTTTTACCTACCAAGTCCAACTAACGAAGTCGATAAAGATCACTTCCAAAGCCATTCAACGAAGAGATACAATAATCATCCCCACACCCATCGGCCCTCGGCATCTTCTCCGCATTTACATTACCGTCGGTCACCTCTAGCTTTCTATATCATTTTCGTATAATCTCCTTTATTCCTTCTCCATTCTCCTCTTTTAATCAACCCCAATCTTCCAGCAAAACCCTCACCAAGAAACCTCAAAATGCCACCCTTCACAATCCAACCCCCAACCCCAGCCCACGCAACCCTCACCTACCCAGCACCCCACGTTCTCCTCGTCACGCTAAACCGACCCCGCAATATGAACTGCATAAACGCCCAAGGTCACGCAGACCTCCACGCAGTCTGGGAATGGCTCGACGAAGAGCCAAGTATGCGCGTGGGCATTCTAACCGGAAAGGGACGGGCGTTTTGCGCCGGCGCTGATCTAAAAGGTGAGCCAGAATAGCCAGTCTACACATACACACACTACCCCCAAAAACCAATAACCGATGTCTCAATTCATCTGTTAAACCCGCTAACTCCACCAGAATGGAACGACCGCACCTCGACCGCACCAACAACCTCTAACTCCACTACCCCAATGCCAAACAGTGGGTTTGGCGGACTAGCGCGACGCAAGGGTAAGAAACCCGTGATCTGTGCCGTGAACGGGCTCTGTCTCGGTGGGGGCGCGGAGATGATCATCAACAGCGATATTGTGATTGCGTCTTCGCGGGCGGTATTCGGGTTGCCGGAGGTGAAGCGTGGGGTTGTTGCTCTTGCCGGGGCGTTGCCGCGACTAGTGCGAACTGTCGGGAAGCAGCGGGCTATGGAGATGGTTCTTACGGGGCGGATGGTTAGTGCTGTGGAGGCGGAAAAGTGGGGGCTTGTTAATTCTGTTGTTGAGGTTGGGGAGGGGGAGGAGGAAATTGGTCGGGCTGTTTTGGAAAAGGCTTTGCGGGTTGCCCAGGAGATTTCGGGAAATAGTCCTGATTCGGTGCTTGTTAGTCGCGAGGGGGTTAAGTTGGGGTGGGAGGGGATTGGGGCGGATGAGGCGACGGCGATGTTGAATGATACTTGGGTTAAGAGGTTGTATGAAGGGGAGAATATTAAGGAGGGGCTTAAGGCTTTTGTGGAGAAGAGGAAGCCCGTTTGGGTTGATAGCAAGTTGTAGAAATTGGAAGTAATTCGATTCGCTAGTCATACTACAGTTCGTAAAGTCATAAAAGCAATCCCATTTCGCCGTCGCGCCGTGTACCTGGTATCCGCCATATTCCATGCAAGTTGAATTTCAGTCAATGCGAAATCAAATGCGCGGTTGCCCTGCCTCTCTGAAAAGTTGGTGTTAGGATGTTGTGTGTTGTTGGCGTAGGGAAGAGATGCCTACTTGGTGTCGGATTGTACCCCGTCTATGACCTGGACCACATGGGGGAAGAGAGGGTGGTCTCGGTCCAATCCGGTTAAACGGACAGCAGCATCAACAGGGGAGTTCTCCTTGAGAATCTTGGCCATCTCCACACTCTCCTCGTCGCCTTCCACATTCTGGAACCGCAGAGCCATTTCAAAGGAGCCCATCAGTGACTCGAACTTTCCGCCACGCTCGGCCAGCTGGGAAGCCGGGCCGATGAATCGCTCCTTGCGGGACACTTTGCGCATTGGGGCACGACCCACGCGCTCCACGGTGTCCTCGAGGTAGGGGTTTGAGATTCGGGTGATGATGGTCTCGACGTACTCCTGCTGCTCGGCCGCGCTGATTTCATGTTTGTCGACGATGAGGGAGGCAGTCTCTTGGAGCACATCACGAACAATACCACGAATGCGAGTGTCCTTGAGAGCATCGGCAATGGTCTTCTTGCCGGCATTGTAGCCATAGTAGGCTGCAGTAGCGTGACCGGTGTTGACGGTGAACAACTTGCGCTCAATGTAGGGCTCCAGGTTGCTAACCCAGTGGATAGCTGGGACTTCTGGGTGACCAAACTCCCCGAAAGGTGTCGACTCCACAGCCCATTCGTAGAACTTCTCGATGCGCACGTTGAGACCGCTATCGGGGGCCTGGCCAGGTACAATACGGTCGATGGCCGAGTTGGCAAACCGGGCTCGGTCTGGCATAGACTCGAGACGGTCTTGGGCGGTGTTGTCCTTGATGAAGTGGTGTAGAGTGTCAGTGGCGCCAATGGCGTTCTCACAGGCAATGACGGCGAGCGGTGTGGCGTCGGTGCGGGCATCAATGCCCTTGGCAATGACGGGGGCGATGAACTTGAGGATGTTGGGGCCCACGGCGCAGGTCACAATGTTGGCGGTTGAGATCTCCTTGATGACATCGCTCTCATGAGTCTTGGAGTTGATTGCACGGTAGTTGGTGATGGTCTTGGTAGACTCGCCCTCATCACTGACTTCAGTGACCTGATAGGATTTGGTCTCCTGTAGGGAATTGATGATACTGTCCATGACATCGACGAAGACGACCTCATAGCCAGCAGTGTGAAGGAACTCGGCAACGAAACCACGGCCGATGTTACCACCACCGAAATGAATAGCTTTCTTCTCCATTATGAAAGGTATGAAAAGTGGGAAGTGGGAAGTGGGAAGTGGAGGTAGAGTAGAGTAGAAGTAGAAGTAGAAGTAGGAGTCGAAGTGGAAGTAGAGATAAACTTAATCGCGTCGCGCTTTCCAGTCCAATGGAGGGGGAAAGTGCAGCTATTTAAGCAAAGGAGAGGGGAAGTATGAAAGGGTATACCTGAATCTGGAATATTCCTGTATATGACGATGACTTCATAGATTGGGCTACGGGACTGGCCTCCGCCCGCCTTGAATGAGAGCATCATGAATATAATCCTATTATTGTTATTTTCTATTAATTCTTATTATTCTATTCCAACATTCCACTATTAACCCGACAGATGTTACCCCCCTCCCCCCGCTTTGTCTGTGCAACCACTCCTGTACGCAGTACCTCGTAGATATACGGAGTACACTATACCTATTTAAGGAACATATAAATTCCATTTTCATGCGGATTCACACCTGAACCACTCACCGGCAAACAAAGAGCAATCACCGGGAAAACCCGTCCATATTCGTCAACCCTTCGCGCTTTGACAGGAACCTTGGCAAATGTAGTCGGAGAAACGTAGCCGATAAACCGGGAAACGGAGTACAGTGGTCCTCGGAGTCTGAGCCGTTTACGGAATGTACTGACTACCTGGTTTGAGGTAGAATGAGTGAATACTGAATATTCGAGACTATTCACGATCCTCATAGAACAATGATATCCACATGTGTGACGTCGGATGAACGGTTGACAGCCCCGACCCAGTTTTTTTCCACCTTAGTCGCGGCCAACTCCAACTAGTAGGCCCCAGCCGAGGTTGATTCGGTGGGTGTCCATTGCCTTCCATGATCTAGCCTACGAACTAGATTGCTGCCTTGCACTGCCCGACATACCTTAGCCCCTGGAAGTTAGGGGGAAAACCTAACCCTCGCGGCATCTCGGAGCCTGGCCATTGGCCCAACATCTTACACGCTCAGATATCCCGCAAAAAAAAAAAAAAGTAAGTGGCCGGATTGGCAATGTAATTTCACTTGAAACAATTCGCTAGTTAGATTGGCTACTATGCTCTATTGGTTGCGCGAAATAATTTGAAGCTGGTATCGTTCGATTCATAAAATGGCTCTCTCTATCTACTATGGGGATTATATTCGATGTTGCGAGTTTCCCCGACGTCCGCCCCCCGTCTGAAACATGCGCTCTCTAACTGGTTAACATCACCGCTTCCTTTTTTTTTCCTCTCTCTCTTTTGAGTTGCTAATTACCCCTCTATATCCTTTCCGACGGGCGCAGGAGCAGACGCAGCCCGTCTCGGAACAAAGACATTCGCAAAGCAAGCAACGGTACCGGCGAGTAACAGGCCCACTGCGGCCCAAGTCATCCCGAGAAATTTCTCTCCGTGATGGGCTGACACGTCCCAGCCTTTGCCGTGAGCGTTGATCAGAGCAACGAATTCAGTAGCGATGACCGTGGCGATAATGGATGCGATGCTGATGCTGAGAGACCCGAGCTAATTAATATGTCAGCAAACTGTATTCTGGGGAAATTCGATATCCCAAAAAAATGCACCACGCCCAACTAGGAAGTACACTGTCTGCACATGCAAAGACAAAGTTTATGTTGGGGGGGTCCCATCACCTGAACGTGCTATTTTATGTAACTCACCATGAAAAACCAAAATTCCCACGGGCCCTGGCCTGGTCGCGGAGCAAGTGTCGTCCATACGCGTACAAGTAGCGCCGCCCCCATCGCGCCAACTCCAATACAGTACAGCACGGCCATGACTCTGCTTGTCAGTCTGAGGGCCTGGAAGTCATCGCCGATCACGCGCGGCCAACCTAGTTCCTGACTGGCGATCTCGTTCGGCCAGGCTTGTATCGGATCAAATGAGGATAGAAGCGTGCGGTTTGAGCATTCGGTCACGTTGCGCGTGACTCCTGCACTGGGAATAGTTGTTCCCAGTGTTCCCTGGCAATAGGACATGATGTGGATGGAATAGAAATCGTGGACTCCACTGCCGGTGCTATCTGCGGGTGTGTAGAGCTAAATGAATAGGGCCAAATCAGTATTCTGCATCTCTGTCTGCCACTTATAAACAGTGATTGGAGATTATCGGACTTACCGTCAAGAGATCCACGTCACCGAGGAGGTTTTTCTGCGTCCCTGCGAAAAGACATAGGATGGTGAGTATAAATGAGATGAACACAGTCACCGTCGCAACGAAGCCCTTGGAGTCCAACATGATGGTGAACCTGGTATATGCGTTGGTCTGGTTCTAGTCTTCTGCAAGATGTAGTTGGATCCAGTATGCAGTATGCGAGGATGGTTTACAGTAGATAATGTGAAAGCTCGATATTCAACAAGGCCCGAATCTGTGATTCTCGCACTCTTTGCAAATCCTTATATACATTCCATGCTGGAAATCTGAACATCGGGATTATCGGCATCTAGATTTCTCACGATAGCTTCATTCCAGACGTGGGCTGTGAGAATAGGGCGGAAGTACCATATCATCGAGATCAGATGTTCCGTGGAATGTATGCATTACACATGATCGGATAAAGACCTCTAGCTTTTGGAAATGTAAGTACTCCGTACATACGGAGTAGTACCCAGGTATGATGGCTGGGAAGGGAATGGGTGTAGTCCTGCCCGCTTCAGGAATGTTCAGAATGTTGCCGGCGACGAAGGATCTTGCACGTCGGTATCGCATTGTTTTATTTGTGAGATATTAGATTTTAGTACATTAGTTTAGATACGAATTTTATCTGAGGGCTGGTTTAAATTCGATCTCAGAGATGAAGGGGCCTGCCAGGGTTATATAGTTGACCCAATGGAATTTGACGTCAGCGGCAGGGGTTAGTATTTACCCTGGCCACTTTCCAGTCTAAGACCTTTTTTGCACATGTTCATATTCCAATCCCTAAATTGCGTCAATCTCTTCAGAAATTTCGTGTCTTGACACAAAAACTTCGAATTCCCAACTAGTTTAGATTCTTCGGACCAACATTTTCAAACCCTGTATAATCTGATGGAAGATGCGCTAAACCTTGATTTTGCCCTTTGCGAATGAACAACAGTTCGTCATTATTGCAAATGCAGAAGAAACAAGGAAACACTTATCTCCGACCTGTTTGTACGGCGCGATATAGCGGCACATCGGACAATGAAGTTTGATTGGTTGGGCAGAGTCTAGATTGGCCGGGGGTTTTGCCTGGCAGAAAATCTTTGAGTTGTGCCTGCCCACATGGCAAGGCCGGGCCCCAGGGCCACCTTGGATATGGGTGGCAAATTGAAAAATCAGGGATCTTTTGTGTAGCAACCCCATACAAAACGTACATGAAGTTAACTTGAGCATACCTTCGATTTTTCTAGGCTTTCAAACTATGGAGAACATAAAAATTAGATAAGCTTATAATGTAAATCTGATTCAATCGATCTGATCTGCTAAGATTAATTCTAAATATATGATATTGAAAGTGTAAAGAACACCCTAAAAAGCCCTACATATATATTGCACGCTCAAGTTTAAGCATTCTCTTGCTTCAAGCATATTCGATAGTTCCGACTGATGTTGATATTAACCAACTTAGACTTTACTTATAATATACAAATCTTCCTATATTATGCCTAACCAATCCGAGGGTTAATAAATTGAGGTTATGGTTATATCGTGCTTATGTATCTTTTGTATTGGATTGTTATACAAAAGATACCTGATCCTATTTGCCATCCGGTGGGCCCACAGCACTACATGGAAGGTGTTAGTACGCTTGCCACACATAAAAATATCTCTCCAATTTAGGTAAATATATCAGAATATAGTGTAGAATGGTACGAACCTCGGAAGAAAACCAAGAGTGTCCATGGATACTTGGAGAGGCGGAGAGACCTCGACCCTGGAGGAAGACAGTCAAATTAGTCAGTATGCCTAACCAATCAAATACAGTGGTTCAATGTGCCACTATACCACACCGTAGGCATCCCTAGGCAATGCTAATGAGTAAACCTCTCAATAGCCCACAAAGGCCCCTTAGCCCAGCCCAGCCCAGCCCACATAGGCTAGGTTTTGGGCCCTACCTTCGGGCCCATTGGTAGGTCATAGGCCCGGAATGAAAGCCCGCAAAGCCCATTCGGGCCCATAACGGGCCCTAAACAATGTTAACATGCCAATTTATCGTAGCTGTATGATTAATGCATTTTTCTGGTTTTTTTTGGGGTATTTAAACTACCATCTGAGCGATACATGAAGCTATACAGAACCCTTCTTATAATCTTATAAATTAACCCATAAGATGCGAAGTTGATTTTTATAAAGCTTTATATTTTACAAGGGGTACTTATTTTTGTTAGGGAATTACATAGTAAGTAGATGTACCATTAGTGCTACGTACTATAATTAACACCTGGTTATAGACCATATCTCTTCATGCTAAAACCCAGTAATCCTCCTAAGTGCGAATTCGTGGTTAAGTTAGGTCTTTTTAGGGTGATTTTGTATGAAATTTTGCATGAAATCTAGAATCCTAATGCTAAAATCAGTATAATACTGAATTCCTACTTCTTGCTATAATAATATAAAATTGAATATACAGGTTGGTACATGCGTAAAATACAGCCATTAATCAGCTACTTTATACGTGCTAAGACTGTGCTTGTGCGCACATTGATGGGCTTTGATGGGCTGCGGGTTGGGGTGGGCTTTGAAGACTGAGCCCATAGTCCACTGCGGGTTGGGCTATGAGCCGGGGGCTTGGGCCCATTTGGGGGCTATTGAGAGGTCTACAGACGAGAGCGCAAAGTCGAGGACCATTGATCTCATCTCCATCTTCAATTGTATTACATCCCTTAAAGGTCTATAAAAGATTACACATTTGCAAAAGAGCAAGGCACACAATAGACTTATTTGGATTATTGATACATCCTGCGGATAATAAGAAGATATGTACATGTATATTTTGAGTGACCTCCAAAGACGCTCGATTTATGAGCAAGGAATCTACTACTCTCGACTTAAAGTGTGCCTTTCTGGTCATACCGAAGCCATCTACCATATATCGCATAGAAGTTCTAGCTTCTCTCTAGAAATCCAAACCCGAAGTCCTAGAGTACAGCTTGGAAAGCTCACTATTAGTGCAGGTGGGAACACGGCCAATGAACAATAATCTACCATCGAGGCTTGCTATTTGAATTCTGAATTCTGGGTAGAACAACTCAACGCGTAACCAGGAGCAGGTACCTGAGACCAAAAACTACGTTATCTTCCAAATTCTCATGGGTTGACATGTGTGTAACTCCAGAGGGTTATATCTTGTTGCCTGTCGGGACTGAATTATAGAGTCAAGTTTCCAATTAATGTACAGAACCTTTGAACAAGCCATGGTGTGTGATAGGGTTAATATTATTTTCCACAATAATAGCTGGCCGCTGATCTGGCCTTGTGATGTGTTTCAGTGGTCTTTCAGATACATATTCTGTTTAGATATTTTGGAGATACTCCCCCCCCTTCTCAGTATTATAGATAGGTTGACAGCAAAAAGAAAGCGATAATCGGCTTCATTTGGGAAAACGACTTCTCCATGTATAACCTGGGATATCCTCATACCTTGCTTCTTCAATCATTCAATCTATCTATGCGCTTTGAGGTGGCCCTTTCAGTAGGCCTCTGTTATCATTAGACATATCGCCTTACTGTTCCCTAAACTGGAAGTAATATTATTTTGTGAAATTTCCTACTTTCCCACTGTGTTCGTTGAACAATATTTTCCTTCGTTTCGGAAGTTCGCACATTGGCCCTGTGTAAACCTATTTAGGTTATCGGAGATGAAATTCGGGGGAAAGAGCAATGTTGAGTTGAACCCTCGAGGTTGAAACGTCGGATGATTATATATTTATTTTCCGCGTCATCTGTTCATGAGTAAAGTAGCCCGTTGCAAACCAAGCTATTAGCAACATATAGACCTCAGGAGATTGCACAAAGAGGACTTGTAATGCAACATTGGGCAGACCGAAGCTGATAATGGTATAGTAAGATGGACCATTAGCATCTCCCTCAAATGACCCGACCAATCAGATCTTTAAACGCTACTTTCTACAAGACCACCAGCGTAGCATTCGGCGTGCCCTATAGGTCTCAGTGACACAACCACGTGAACGAACATGCAATACAAAAATATGCGAGGACAAACCGAACTAGATCAAACGAGTGTAACTAGTGGCGTACACCGGCACCCGGACTTGAAGACAAGTGTACGCCTAGTGCTGATGCAATAGAAGGCTAATGGCTACATAGATAGAAGCCTTCTAATGAATCTGGGTCCAGGGGCCACTGGGTGTCTCCAAAGTATAGACGCGTGGCACGGAGAAGACAGGCATTGTGGCATCTGATTTCTAGACTGATTATTGATTCGGAATGTTTGCCCGGGTGGCTGTATCGGGTTCGGAGATGCCGACCACTATATACCTTCCTACTTGGTTTATTTTAATCCAGTGTTTACGATGCAGTGCCATCCCGAGACGCGCTCTGGATCCACAGAATTTGGAGACAAGTTCCTAGTGTGGAACGTATACGGAGTACCCAGGAGAACTAGGACAACCTTCTAGAAAGATTTGCTCTTCTAGAAGGCAGCTAACATATGCAGCCTGCAAGGGATATGATATCCGAGGGTGGAATTCCAGGGCAGAGAATCAGCAAGGTAAAATAATCAAAGACACTCATGTCATGAGATGCCCAGCTGGAGATCCAGGTATCCACGAAAAGTATGCCAGATAGCCCCTGAAAGGAACTAAAACGGAAAAAGGGGCAAGGCAAACTTAGTTCGCAGAGCGTGTGTATGCAAGAGCTTAGGTGGATACAAAAGTCCGGATTCCTAAGTCTAGGGGGCCGAAACATCGAATGCGCGAATTGACATTTCTGACAACTGACCACGCGAAATGCGAGCACGTGCGTATCAACAACAAATCCAGCCCTGCAGGACCAAGCATTAGAGAAGCTCACTTGGCGACGCCTCTCGCCGGGGCGCCTATTGCTTGACGGGCCTTGGGTTTGCTTGGGGCTGTTTGGGCTGATCCGAAGGATCAAAGCAAGCTTTAGCCAAGGTTCTGGAAGGTCTTGATGCAGCCATGATCGCATGTATCGATTTCAGAGGCATTTTGGGTCCTAGATGGTCGATAGTATACAATTTTAGTTCCAATTGAAGTCGATTTCGCCGGGCAGCTCGCGTAAATGATGATTGAATGTAT